CCTGACTTCCGGTGGGCCTGGAAGGCCCAAAAATCAGCTGGCCAGCACGTGCATGCGTGCTGGAGCTGAGCTAGGGCAATGCTCGCGTGCCCACAGATATGGCTCCGCGTGCCACCGGTTCTAGAGTCATTTCGCAATTACACAAATGCCTCAGGTTCGAATCCTACGCCGAATCAAACCAGGGCTCCATCCTTCTAATACAGGAAGGATGAAGATTGTGTAAACCGTGTTTTTTTAAAAAAAAATCAGGTTCCACAAGTTCAGGAAAGTTTTGGTGTCTCAGAGAACACGCTAGACCACGATTGCTTGGTTGAAGCAACCCAGCTCACGAGATTTCCGTTTTACACACACGGCGCGAAGACGGAAGGCTGAAAAATGAAACCGTTTTGGATTTTAGGAACAAAAAAATAAAATAAAAATCCCTTAAAGAGGAAGGCTGAATAGACAAACCTCACGTCTGCCTTCCCTCAATTATTCTCTCTCCCTGTTGCCCTGCAGCCTGAAAGGATATTAATTTAATTATCAAGCAACTTCGGTGTTTTCCCCAAAGACGAGATAAAGAGGAGGCGAACATCTTTTCTGAACCGAATTCAAGTCCCGGAGATGTTGTGGCATACATACATCCACATAATTGTCTCGTCAGAAAGACCGGAGAAAAACAAACGCAAGAAATGTCGTAAAACGAGACAAAACTCACTTATGAAATGTTTCACTTAAGAACAGAAACGTTGGACTCAAATTGATTCAAATTCAGGCCCTCGGTAACCGGCATGTACATGTAGTTCTCGACTTACGAACAGTTTCACTGAGCGACCGTTCAAAGTTACGACGGCACTGAAAAAAGCGACTCCAGGACCGTTTTTCACTCTTAACGACCGTTTGCAACATCCCCGTGGTCATGTGATCACAATTCAGACGCTTGGCAGTTGATTCATATTTATGACCGTTGCAGTGATCCCCTTTTGCGACCTTCCGACAAGCCAAGTCAATGGGGAAGCCGGATTCACTTAACGACGGTGTTACTATCTTAACAACTGCAATGATTCGCTTAACAACTGTGGCACAAAGGGTCGTAAAATGGGGGCAAAGCTCACTTAACAAATGCTTCACTTAGCGACAGAAATGTTGGGCTCTATTTACGACGGACGTGGCATTCAGGGGGTCATGGTTAGGGTTAACCACCTTGCTTGAGGATTAGCTATGATCTGTTTCCAAACTGGGAAACAGCTTTTCCCAAGCCGTTTTTTAAATACAGGGAGTCCTCGATTTACGACCACAATGGAGCCCAAAATTTATGTTGCAAAGCAGGACAGTTGTTAAGTGAGTTTTGCCCCCATTTTACGACCTTTCTTGCCACAGTTGCTAAATGAATCAGTGCATTTGTTCAGTTAGTCACACGGTTGTTAAATGAATCGGGCTTCCTCGTTTGACATCGCTCGTCAGAAAGTTGCAAAAGGTGATTGCGTGACCCCAGGACACTGCAACCGTCGTAAGTATGAGTCAGTTGCCAAGGGGCTGAATTTTGATCATGTGACCATGGGAATGCTGCCAAGGTCGTAAGTGTGAAAAAGGGTCATAAGGTAAGTCGCTTTTTTCAGTGTCACTGTAACTTCAAACGGCCCCTAAATGAATGGCGTAAGTCGAGAACTAACTGTAACCTGCATTTTCCCATATATTTATTTATTCCTTGACTTGTGCAAAACCAGTGAGCGGGCCGATGAAAAGGGAAATTTGCAGTGGATCCTTTCCACATTTTACTCAACATTTCCCCTTCCTCCCTCTTAGATATGCCTCTTATTAGGTTTTGGATCTGGGTTCAAATCCCCCTTTTGAGCCAGGATTGGTCACAAGGAAGCTAAAGAAAAGAGGTGCAATTTTAGGCAAAACCATTTCATCACAACTTAGTACCCCCAAAACAAACCAGAGCACAATTGTGCTACCCTCCTTCATCAAACCAATCTGCAACTTGTAATGTGTTTGGATGGTGGAGGATGGGACCTGTAGTTCAGCACATCGGGAGGGTTATGGTGGGGGAGATCATGCTTCGGAATTAAACGGGTTACAATAAATCCAGAGATCATTCACATGGGACAGCTCTTAGGATCATAGTGTTGTCAGTGTAGAAAGAATGCCAAAGATCATCTAGTCCAACCCTTCGTAGAGTACAAGGCCAGCCATTAAATTTATTCATGAGAGGTGGCGATTCAACCTCTTCCTTAAAAACCCAGAGATGGAGAACTCATAACCTACATACCATGTTTCCTCCTAATATATATCTTACTATCTGATCCGACATGCTTTGGCAAATCCTAGCCTGACGAGAGAGCCGGGTTAGACTAGATGACCTCTTGATATCCTTTCCCACTGCAGTTCATTGATCACTACAGCTGAGGGAATTAAGTTCTGCAGCTCAAGAAAACGGGTTTTTGCCTGAAGAAATCCTGATTTTATTGAGTAGGAAGTCCTTGACTTACAAACACAACGGAACCCCAAATTTCCGTTTCCTAAATAAGGCGGTTGTTAAGGGACGTTGTTCCCCATTTTGCAACCTTGCTCGCCACTGTTGTTAAGTGAATCACTGCCGTCGTTTAATTAATGACACGGTTGTTTAAATGAATCTGGCTTTTCCCATTGAATTTGCTTGTCAAAAGATCGCAAAAGGAAAACCATACAACTCTGGGACACAGCAATAAATACACATAAATACATGTCAATTGAAACGGTCGTAAGTGTGAAAAATAGTCACAAGTCACTTTTTTCAGTGCCCCCGTACCTCCGACTCATGACCCCAACTCAACCCAAAATTTATGTTTGTCAAGTGAGAAGTTTGTTAAGGGAGTTTGCCCCATTTTACAACATTTCTCGCCACTGTTGTTAAGTGAATCACTGCGGTTCTCAAATGAGTACCACGGTGGTTAAGTGAATCAGGTCTCTCCCCCCCCCCCCCACATGGACTTTGCTTGTCAGAAGGTCACAAAAGCAGATCACGTGGCCCCGGGGGCATCATTGCGACCGTCATAAATACGAGTCGGGTGTCAAGCATCCGCATGTAAATCACGTTGACCGTGGGGAAAGCTACAACGGTCGTAAGTGTGGAAAAACGGTCCTAAGTCACCTTTTTCAGTGTCGTCGTAACTTCGAGTGGCCCCTAAACGGACTTTTGCAAATCGATTACTATCTGTGTGTTTGCATTCCTACTTTGCGACCCCAGATTCTAACATTCCAACGCACAAACTCTGCCCATGTGCGAAGTTTTTATTTTTATTTTATTTTATTTTTCTTTCCCAGATCCTACGGAGCCCCTGCCCACTTGAGCTTTTAAAAGTTCTACTACTAGCCCTTCTACTACTTTGCAACACGCTGGAAATCATTTGCAAGAAAGAACCTCCCAGTTTTCTCTGCCGGTTTCCAGCGGAAATCTGTCGAGTTTTTGTTTTGCATGGAAAGAAAAACAGGCATCTCGCCCTGACGAGAGGAAGCGCAAGGCCAGGGGAGAGACTGGCCATCACTGTCACTTCCTCCTCGGGGGTCACTCGGGTCAGTTTCAGTCATCAGCTGGTGGCAAACTTCAGGATCGGAACAGGGGATCAAACTGGCCATGCCGGGGGTGGGGGGGGACGGGAGGGTGGAGGGCAAACAGGATGGCCTGGGGTCTTTTCTTCATGTATGCCTGCCTCTGGTTTAAAAATCCTGCCCCGTGCCTGTCCCAGTTAAGTGGAAACTGTGAGGAAAAGAGAGAACTCTGTGTATGCTCAGAGGCACGCTTGTCTCAGATCCAGGAGAGCAACAGGGGGAGAAAGTTATGCCTGGATCTAGAATTGTGTTTCTCAACTGTACCACTTTAAGAGGGGGCGGGGTTTGGACTTCAATTCCCAGAATTCCCCAGCCAGAAGAATTCTGGGAGTTGAAGTCCACTCCTCTTAAAGTGCCCCAGGATGAGATACATTGATCTAGAGCAGTGATTCTCAACCTTAGAGACTTTAAAATGAATGGAGGTCAACTCCCAGAATTCCCTAGCAGGCATGGCTGGCTGGGGAATTCTGGGAGCTGAAGTTCCCTTCATCTTAAAGTGGCCGAACTTGAGAAGTAATGATCTAGAATTCGAACGAATCAATTAATCTGTGCCGATGCCACATTTTTCCTCAGAAATTACTTGGAACAAAGGGAAAATGCCGCTTTAACAATTGTTTAGCAAGATGGGGTGTGTGTGAGAGAGCTTTTGAACGACACCCCAAAATTTCAGGGAACCCCAGGTAGAAGGGAGAAATCTGAAAACTGTGGCTGGGAAGAAAAAGAATGCGAAGAACCCAAATTAGAATTTATTTTAAGTTTTCCTGGATGTAGAAAAGTGCACAGAGTGGTCCAAAACTTCAAAATGGCCGCTTTTTCTGCACAATTTGAAAATAGGACTTTGATTGGTCCAGCTGATGTTTTGACATTTTGGACGTGTCCCATCAATACCCTAGGATTTTACCCAAAAAGAAAGATTAAAAAATAAAATACTAGGTAAATAAATAAAATTAAAACAGCCCTTGACTTTAAAACGCTTAACCGTTCAAAATGACAGCAGCCCTGGAAAAAAGTGATTGATGAACGATTTTCACACTTATGACCGTTCCCTGTGGTCATATGATTAAAATTTGGCACGCTTGGCAGCTGGCATGTATTTATGACAGTTTCCGTGTCCTGGAACCATGTGATCCTTTTTTTTGCGGGGGACCTTCTCACAAGCAAAATCAATGGGGAAGCTAACTTAAAACACCGGCAGCGATTCACTTAATAACGGTGGCAAGAAAGGCCGTAAAATGAGACAAAATGCACTAAAAGAAATGTCTGGCTTAGTAACAGTAATGTGGATCGTAGCTCGAGGACTACCTGTAAAAAAAATGGCAGGAACAATTCAGGGCCAGCCTGAATATGAAGCCACCGTCCCCGCTCGGCTGTGGCCCGTGTAGCCAGACCCGGGTTCAAATCTAGACAGATGTCTCCCCGAGACTTACTGTTGTTGGATTTCAGATCCCGGTGGATGACGGGCACGATGGCTCCACAGTGAAGGTACTCCATGCCTTGCGCGATCTGGACTGCCCAGTTGATGAGGATGTGCGGCGGGATGCGGCGTCCGGCCAGCATCCGGCTGAGTGGTCCTCCGGCCGCGTACTCCATCACCAAACACAGGTTGGGCCCCTGCAGGCAGACGGCCTTCAGGACGATGATGTTGGGGTGCTTCAGCATGGCAAAGAGACGAGCTTCCTGGCGCACCCGCTCGGCCGTAGTACTGATGTCCTCGTCCGGATCCTGACGGGCCGCCTTGACCGCTACCAACTGCCCCTTCCAGCTACCCCGGTAGACCTTCCCGAAGCCCCCCACCCCGATCACTTCCTCCAGCGTCAGATCCCGAAAGTCAGCCTCGGGAGGGTCCGCGGGCGCCGCGTACGCCCCCGTCTTGGGCGAGACATAATTCGCAGGGAAGATGCCCACTCGGTCGTTCAGCTTCCCGGCCCACCAGCCTTCGTCGCCGGAGATGGCCGAATCCCAGGACAAGACTTCCACCAAGTCGCCCTTGCGCAGGGTCAGCTCGTCCGTGCTGGCGGCCTCGTAGTCAAACAACGCCGTCCAGACCGGGTTGGCGCAAGTGATGGGACCCCCGACTCGGGAGCCTGGCCCCCAGCCGCCCACCAGAGGGGCTTTCCGGAACATGCTTTTCAGTGGCTCCATCGTGCCCTCCCGGCCTCATCGGGTCCAGGAACATGGACCCCGGAAAGGAGACCACGGGGAGAGCTCCGGAGCTAGCTCAAACCCCCTCCCATCGGGAAAGCCCATCCACGTCTGCAACCCGGTCGGGCTCTACATGCCCCTCCAAGGCTTCTCAGGCGCCCGCGGGCGCCGCGATCTCTTCCTCCTCCGTGGGCGCGGGCGGAGGCCCCGGGTAGATCTCTGTTGCTTCCTCGTCCTTTCCCCGCGAAGGATCCCGATCCAGCGGAGGGGAGAGATTCCCGGATCCTTCCCGCCAAGATCCCGGCCGGCAACGGAGGCAACCCGGGTCTTGCAAAGCGTCCCCCGACGGCTCCTTTGCCCCGGTCCTTTTCCTTTCCCTCCGAGCGGCCGGACGGAGCGAGGCGGGCAAGGCTGGGAAGGCGAGGGCGGGTCTGGCCGGCTGGGACTGCCCCGCTTTGGAGGCGGGTCTCCCCGGCTAGCTGGCGCTCCCTTCTCCGACGGGAAGACAAGGCGAGGCTGGCCCCGGGCTTGGAGCCGAGCCCAGCGCCGCCTTCGCCCGCTTTGCCAACCCTGCTGGGACGGGGCAGAAGCGGCGCCAGCCTCCGGGGCGCACAGCGCTCCTCGTCTCCGAGCGAGAGGCTGCTTTTCCTCCAAGCTTTGGGCCGCCTCGATTCCCCATGAAGTTGGGGATGATGGGAGCAGGAGTTGGGGTGATGGGAGCTGAAGTTGGGGGTGATGGGAGCTGGAGTTGGGAGTGATTAGAGCTGGAGTTGGGGTGATGGGAGCAGGAATTGGGAGTGATGGGAGCTGGAGTTGGGGGTGATGGGAGCTGGAGTTGGGGGTGATGGGAGCTGGAGTTGGGGGTGATGGGAGCTGGAGTTGGGGGTGATGGGAGCTGGAGTTGGGAGTGATGGGAGCTGGAGTTGGGGGTGATGGGAGCAGGAATTGGGGGTGATGGAAGTTGGAGTTGGGGATGATGGGAGTTGGGAGTGATGGGAGCTGGAGTTGGGGTTGATGGGAGCTGGAGTTGGGGGTGATGGAGCAGGAGTTGGGAGTGATTAGAGCTGGAGTTGGGGGTGATGGGAGCTGGAGTTGGGGGTGATGGGAGCTGGAGTTGGGGGTGATGGGAGCAGGAGTTGGGAGTGATTAGAGCTGGAGTTGGGGGTGATGGGAGTAGGAGTTGGGAGTGATGGGAGCTGGAGTTGGGGGTGATGGGAGCTGGAGTTGGGGGGGTGATGGGAATGATTAGAGCTGGAGTTGGGGTTGCTGGGAGCAGGAGTTGGGAGTGATGGCAGCTGGAGTTGGTGATGGGAGTGATGGGAGCTGAAGTTGGGGGTGATGGAAGTTGGGAGTGATGGCAGCTGGAGTTGGTGATGGGAGTGATGGGAGCTGAAGTGTTGGGGTGATGGAAGTTGGGAGTGATGGCAGCTGGTTGGGAGTGATTAGAGCTGGAGTTGGGGTGATGGGAGTAGGAGTTGGGAGTGATGGGAGCTGGAGTTGGGAGTGATGGGAGCTGGAGTTGGGGGGTGATGGGAGTGATTAGAGCTGGAGTTGGGGTTGCTGGGAGCAGGAGTTGGGAGTGATGGGAGCTGGAGTTGGTGATGGGAGTGATGGGAGCTGAAGTTGGGGGTGATGGAAGTTGGGAGTGATGGCAGCTGGAGTTGGGAGTGATGAGAGCTGGAGTTGGGGATGATGGGAGCTGGAGTTGGGGATTGGGGATGATGGGAGCTGGAGTTGGAGATGATGGGAGATGAGTGCCTCGCCCTGGAGGATCCCTTCTTAAGGGGGTGGTGAGCTTGGGAGGATCGAGGAATCTGGAGAGTCTGATGGCCAGGGAGACTTTTTTATTTTATTTATTTTATTTTTATTTTGCGCGGTTTGCCGCTTGCAGCTGAATAAGGAAACCCCGCATCGATTTGAACGTCTGAATGGGTCATCATGGCTCTTTGTTTCGAGCCTGTTCAAATTAACTCCTTTTTTTTCAAGAAGGGTTTTTGGTTGATAGCAATAGCATTTATTGATTGATTTGATTGATTGATTGATTGAATGAATTTCTATACCGCCCTTCTCCCGAAGGACTCAGGGCGGTGAACAGATTAAGATTTCATATACATATAATAACTTTTATTTTTTTTTATAAACAGTAAATAATAAATTGGATTAACTTGGTGTATCTGCTAAGACCTTGGCATAGAATGTAGATGTTTATGCTAGCCCTGCTTGTTGAAACAGAATGGTCTTCAAGGCACGTCGGAAAGTGCGAAGATCTGGGATTATTCGTATTCCAGAGGGATACTTAGATTTATATGCCACTTTACAGTGCTTTACAACCCCTCTAAGTGGTTTATAGAGTCAGCCTCTTGCCCCCCAACAGTCTGGGTCCTCATTTTACTGACCTCGGAAGGACAGAAGGCTGAGTCGACCTTGAGCCAGTCAGGATCAAACTGCTGGACATGGGCAGAGATAGCCTGCAACCCTGCATTCTAACCATTGGGAGGGAGGGAGGGAGGGAAGGAAGGAGGAGAGGAAAGAAGGAAGGAAGGAAGGAAGAAGGAAGGAAGGAAGGAAGGAAGGAAGGAAGGAGGTTAATAGCATTTATATACCGCTTTGCAATGCTTCACAGCCCTCTCTAAGCGGTTTACAGAGTCAGCCTCTTGCCCCCCAACAGTCTGGGTCCTCATTTTACTGACCACGGAAGGACAGAAGGCTGAGTCGACCTTGAGCCAGTCAGGATCAAACTGCTGGACATGGGCAGAGATAGCCTCCAACCCTGCATTCTAATCATTGGGAGGGAGGAGGGAGGGAGGGAGGGAGGGAGGGAAGGAAGGAAGAAGGAAGGAAGGAAGGAAGGAAGGAAGGAAGGAAGGAAGGAAGGGGAAGGGAAGGAGGAAGGTTAATAGCACTTATATACCGCTTTGCAGTGCTTCACAGCCCTCTCTAAGCGGTTTATAGAGTCAGCCTCTTGCCCCAACTATCTGGGTCCTCATTTTAGCCACCTCGGAAGGATGGAAGGCTGAGTCAACCTTGAGCCAGACAGGATCGAATTGCTGGCAGTGGGCAGAGTCATCCTGCAATACAACCACAGGGAGGAAAGGAAGGAAGGAAGGAAGGAAGGAGGGAGGGAAGGAAGGAAGGAAGGAAGGAAGGAAGGAAGGAAGGAAGGAAGGAAGGAATAGCACTTAGATTTATATACCACTTTGCAGTGTTTTTCAGCCCTCTCTAAGCGGTTTACAGAGTCAGCCTTTTGCCCCTAACAATCTGGGTCCCCAGTTTACCAACCTTGGAAGGACGCAAGGCTGAGTCAACCTTGAGCCTGGTGAGATTTGAACTGCCAAATTGCAGGCAGCCAGCAGTCGGCAGAAGTAGCCTGCAGTACCGCACTCTGTGTAGTATCAATCGTATCAATACAGGTAGTCCTAGATTTAATTTACACAGACAAGGCGTCTAAAATCTGGGATCCATGATTCTTCGGGGAGGGAAATTTGGGGGGGAATTTGTGGTTGCTTCAGCACTGCCACCACTGCCACAGCCCTGCCCAGATGTTTAGTAGACTGATGCCACCTTAGGTCCCTTCGTCAGCTACCACTGGTCAAGTAGTGGTCAAGCTGGTAGGAAATCAGACGTCGCCCACTGATATTCTGCCCATCATCACTCTGTTTCGCTAATCATTCTGGTTCTGGTCAAGACAGACAGAGACTTCCGAGGATCATTAGAACTGCAGAAAAAACCATGGCTACCAAACTGCCTTCCATGGAGAACCTGTATACCACACGAGTCAAAAAGAGGGCTGTGAAAATATCTACAGACCCCTCGCATCCTGGACATAAACTCTTTCAACTCCTACGCTCAAAACGATGCTATAGGGCACTGCACACCAGAACTACTAGACACAAGGACAGTTTTTCCCCCCGAACGCCATCACTCTGCTAAACAAATAATTCCCTCAACACTGTCAAACTATTCACTAAATCTGCACTACTATTAGTCTTCTCATCGTTCCCACCACCCATCTCCTCCCACTTATGACTCTATGACTGTAACTTTTCTGCTTGGATCCATACGATTTATATTGATTATTTCCTGGTATGATGCGATTGCTTATTTGTACCCTATGACTATCATTAAGTATTGTACCTTATGATTCTTTTTTTTTTATATAAAGGTTTTTTTTTTTTTTTTTTTAAGACAAACAGTACATCATTCATTTCTTCCATGTGACATTTCGGTGTTATCTTCAAAGATTTCTTCTCTGTCTCTTCCATCTTCCATCTCACCAAGTCCATTACAAAGGTTTTCCATTAGGATAATATTCAAATTACAACAATTATTTTTCCCTTACCTTACGATTTCTGACGAATCTTGTCATTTTATGTACACTGAGAGCATAAGACACATTCCTTGTGTCTCCAATCACACTTGGCTAATAAAGAATTCTAAATTCTAAGGAAATAGCTCTGAAATGATGACGCAATAGTTATGACAGGTTATTTAGTAAGTTTTAAAAATAGCAGCTATTGTAAATAAAAATTATTGTTTTGGGATGCAAAATTTGAGACAGACAATAGATGGTGGCAACGTTTCTTTTCTGTATCTCTGCTGCCATCTAGTGGTCACCTTGCAATTTGCAATTAATTTGCAATTAATATTAATGTAGTATCAGCAAGAATCAAGCTCCGACTCATGACTTGCAAAGCCAGGAATTGAAAATCATTTCTCATTGGGGGACAAGACCGCCACTCAAAGGGAAGCGGACCCAATAGCAAGTAGCGTAAGCGCTTAAATGCCCGCCCTTTGTAGTAAAGATACCGAGAGCAACGTCAGAGAACTGACGCATGCGCATTATCACAAGGGTCTTCCTTCGGAGGAAGAAGTCCGCCAGTCCTCCGTCGGCCGATCTGACTCGCATGCGCATTTGGTTCCGTGGCAGTCATTAGCGCACGCGCACCACCGTTTCCTTGAACGGTGGATAAGGAAGCGTGAAGTCTTGGGACAAGACAGTAGAAACAGTTATTACCTAGAAATAGTAAATTAGAGGTGGCCATTACATTAGCTGGGTGGGATGTTTCTGGGTTGCTTTAACGACTTTGAAATAATTTGTTTTTTTTTTCACTGGTAGGAAAGTGAAAATTGATATTTATCATCCTTGCCCAGTAGTATCGTTTAAGTGCATCCTGTTCACGATTGAATTGGACTGAATTATACAATTTACACCAACCTTGTGGTGTTGGCTTGATTACATTTGTAGGAGGAACATGCATAATCCTGCTATGTATTTTAGTATTAACAGTACACACATTTATATTTTAATTTATAATTATTTAACTGTTTATTCTCTCTCAGTATGCATGCACTTTGGTTTATATCCTTTCACAAATCCTTTCCCTATTTTGTGCTTTCTACAGTATGTGTGTATACATAAACATATA